TCCTCAGCTGTTGGCAAGGTGCACTGGTGCCGCTCCTGGGCAAATCCAACTCCATATTTTCTGATCACCTGTTGCACACACGAGTAAAGGCTAATTCTCTCTTCCACATGAGCATAGCAAGGTCATCTCCAGTGCATGACTCAGTAAAGCTAAACATACTCTTTTCTACTTAGCATACAAAGACCAGCTCATGTGGAGTTGTGCACCAGAACTGAGGCGCAACCCAGTATGGTGCAAAGCATCAAGACGGCGAAGAGTAGAAGGAGAAGCAGACGAGTAAGCAGGGCAACCATAATCGAGCTTAGACAGGACAAGAGAGGAATGTAAAGCAAGGAGAGTGCGCCTATCTGCTCCCCAAGAAGTATGGGACAAGACCCGAAGGAGGGTAAGGGCCTTAGAGCACTCAACACGGAGGTAAGAGATATGGGGAGACCAAGACAAACGAGTGTCAAGGAATAACCCCAAAAGCTTTGCGGAATCTTTGTATTCAAGGGGATGACCATAAAGTGACAAAGAGGGACGAAGAACAACCCGTTTCCGCGTAAAAGTCATGGCACAAGTCTTAAAAGTAGAGAACTTGAAGCCATGATCGGTGGCCCAAGATATGTAGCAAATTACCTATTTGAATAGGTAGAAATATCTATATGAATACGTAGAAAGTACCCATTTAAATAGGTAAAATAGGTACATGTAAAAAGGAGACAGTATCTAGTTTTCATAAGGATATGTAGAAAAGTACATATTTGAATAGGTAGAAAAAGTAACTAACCAAATACATTAAAAAAGGACCTACTTGAATAGGTAAAAGTATACCTATCTGAATAGTGTCTATTTGAATAAGTAGAAAAGGCACATGTAGAGGACAGTAAGGTAAGATAATTATCAAAAGAAGGCACCAAACCGGGAAGGTTATGTAGCACCATCAAAGTGCGAAATAATCAGAGGGCGCTAAATATCACCAAGAATGCCAATACGAGAACAAAAAAGCATAAGGCGAACGATATCAAAAGTATCCGATTCACCTAGAATTCTATCGAGGGACAAGTGACCGCGAGGGACGGTCGGAAAGCAAGACACACGCTCGTCCTGGAAGTCAGGATATTCAACAAGTATATGCACAACTGTAAGAGGGACAACACAATTCGGACAATAAGGAGCAGGGCGGCGCTCCATTAAGTGACCGTGGGTTAAGCGGGTATGACCAACCCGCAGCCGTGCCAAAGCAGTTTCCCACCGCCGGTTACGGTGGTAGGAGGAAGGCCACGGGGACACACTACGTCTGAGAGTACGCAGTTTGTTACCAACCACAGAGGACCAACAACCCTGCCAACGGGCAAGAATGGAAGAATGAGTAACAGAATAAAAGTTGGAATAAGGAATACTTTTACGGGAGATGGGACAAGAGCGGATAGCTTCCTTAGCGGCAGCATCCGCACGCTCATTGAAAGAAACACCAATATGGCTGGGAACCCAGCAAACCTCTGATTTAAATTTACTAGAAATAAGGTAGAGGACAGTAACTAGTTTTCATATGAATAGGTAGAAAAGTACCTATTTGAAAAAGGTAGACAGGTATCTTTCTGAATAGAAAGGTACCTATTTGAATAGGTAGGCAAGCACATTCAAAATGGCCTCTAAAGCCTGAATGTGTTGTAGAGAACCAGACAGCACCTGGCACTGTTCTGGACTACATCCAACTGTTTCAGGGTACCTGGAAAAAGTTCCAGTGCCTATGTAATGGATCTTCCTCCCCCCAACAAAAAAGAAAAATTCTTTCACACACACACTCCACTGCTATCACTGGCACTCCAATATCAGTAGCACTTTAGAGTTACCTAGTTAGGTCTCGCCTATTGTTATCTGTAGAGGTACACACATCAGTTCACTTGCTGTCATGTACCATGTAATTTATGTACAGTAATGTTGACATGTAGCACTAGAATGAATGTCTGGATGGTTTATTTTTTTCAATGGTATGTAATTTGGACAGGGTGGATAAGTGTTAAACTCTCATACTAAAGCAGGATAAATGAAACTACAGTAGCAAAACGATAGGATTTAGTTCTTTTAAAATTTTAACATGCCATCACTGGGACATTTTACAACACAGTTCGCAATGCTCTGCGAGAAAATCAGTTTGGCTGGAAAAATGGGAAGTTCATTTAGGAAGGACAATGAGGAATGCACGGCAACTGAGAGAAGCTGTAGGGGAGAAACTATTATTCATGATACAGTACTTTTAATTTCTCTTTTATGAAAGAAATACTAGACAAAATCCAGTACATTACAGTATCGAGGTACTAATTATTGACTTCTGCTTGTGGCACAAATTTAGGTTCTTTGATATAGTCATTAATTCTCCAAATTTTTTACCAGTCTTCAAAATATTCTACTTGTAAATTATGAATTTTATGAAAATTTGTAAAAGTAAATTACATAGATTAAAAAAAAAGACTAAGTTTGAGGTGTATATACCACTCATTTTTTCCACATTCTGAGC